ATATTCAAAAGCAAAATTCTTTGAAGCATATTTTGAACATATCAAAAGTAACGAACTTAATTAGTTTAATTTTTCATTTAAAAATAGCTTTTTCTACAGACTTATATCTCAATCTTGAGTTAACATAAACAACGCCAACTATAGGGACGAGTTTATAGAAGATGCTATAATCATAAGGAAGACTGGCTCAAATAATGTGACACAATAATGTAATCGACGATAAAGCGTAGATAATGGTTGGCCACATATCTATAATGTCAATTGGAAGAAGGCAGTAGAAAGCACTTGAATATAAAATAACTTTTTCTACAAACTTGTATCTCAATCTTTAGTTAAGATAAACGTCGCCAACTGTAGGGATGACTTTATAGAAGATGCTATAATCATAAGGAAGACTGGCTCATATAATGTGACACAATAATGCAATCGACGATAAAGCGTAGATAATGGTTGGCCACATATCTATAATAACCAATCGGAAGAAAGCTGTGGAAAGCACTTGAATATGAAATTCTGAGAGCATGAAAAGTGGATGACTAAAGTAAAGACGACAAAGTTAAATGCATTGAGTAAGGAAATTGAAGAATGATAGCAAAAAATATATATGTTATATGTATATTATATAATTGAACAGTAAGTTAAGACACTTAACGGAATGTTAAGCTGTGTAAGAAAAAAACAAATACTTAGAATATTACTAGGAATGGTATTCTACATTATTTATATTACGTGAAGTATACGCTCTTATTCGCATAATTAATTATTTATATTATTTACAGAAATCGAACTCATTTATTAGAAATACACTTAACTTTTTACTAATATAACCAAAGCACGTTTAGTATTTTGACTGATTTAAATTAAATATACAGAAATATAAAATTAATATTTAATACTAATTTTATTCGTTTTATAAGTCCCAAATAAAGTCCGAATTGGATGTTGTATTCTCTTCCCATGTGTATTTGATATTTTTCAATTTTTGGTGAAAGTAGCCAAAACAAACACTTCTCCTTCGTTTTAGAAAATCAAAGCGACTTCGTTCTGGATGTCGTCATTTTTATTAGGGTAGCTTAACATTTGTGATAAAAATGGGATTTAAACTGGTAATTAGGAAATCTATAACTACATAACGCATTACTGAAAAAAATACTTTGCAGAGGATAGTTTAAGATTGCTGAAATGTTGGTTAAATGACAACTCCTAATGTATTCATATGAGATAATTCTTTTATATTCAATAACAATTAAGTATAGGTAATTTTTAGGATAAATTTTACCTATTTTATCTTACTTACGTAAATAGTCATAACAGTCTGTTTTCGAGATTCTACTTATCACAGTATATACTCCTCTTAAGGCACCTCTACTGGTCATAATCTATATCCATAATGCACAAGTTATTATTAATAATTCCGTTAGTTTTGCACAAAATATTTTCAATTCGATCAATTACATGTTATAAATAAGAGTTTGTTACTCGATTTATCAGTTTTTGAGAGGACAGTCCCCTACTATATTGTTTTAGATTTTTCACAGCGTTTAAAGTCCACAATGAATGAAAGAAACTATCATAGGCCTTCGACTAGATGTGTTTATATCTATGTATGAATGCCATCGTTTACTTACTTTAGTATGGGTAATTTGTTGAGTGACAATATTTCTTAGTTTTTATTAGGCTATTATATCTGGAGAACATTTCGCATTAAATATTTTAAACTAACAAAAACCCTAAATAAAAGATGTGTCCGACCTGCGCTCTTCCGATATGATTCGAGTACATTTCAATTGCAATCATCTTCATATTCCTTTGATATTTCATATCCTGGGCAAATATGCTACAGTTTTTTGTTTGATTTTATATTTTTAGTTGAATTCTTTGAAATCATACAAAAAAAAAAACTATATCAATTTAAATCAATATTTGGAGCAGAGCTTATTTTCATCCTGTTTGCCCTTCCACTTCATATTATGTATATATATTGTGGCTGTTCAAGTATTGGTATTTATTTAACCTCTTATTATTTCTATCTGTCTGTATTTTCTTTAGATGATGGCCTTGGTTTTAATTATCATTTCGGAAGTGTATTTGTAACCAATACCACATCAAATCGATTAAATTTTAAATAAGTATTTCTTACAATTTGAATCCATTTATTGGATTCATTAGAAATAAGGAATTATATTTAACTTTAAGATGTAAAATTTTTATCTAAATATAATCACAAATACATATAAAAGAAATCTTTCTTCAATGTTCTCCAGGTTATATCATATAATTGGATATTATAATGAAACGAGTTCTCAGGAGAGAATGGCCATCCTACCGAAATATGTTGAACCTAGGGCATAGGTATTGGGTATACATACATTGTGCAGAAATAACAGTTGAATTTTATATTATAGAGTAATGTATATCTGAAAAGTACTTTATTTGATTATTTTAGCGAGATGAAGTTTTTCTTTATTTTCCGCTTTTTCTTATGAACAATTGATCCATAATTTACATAATATATAGTTTTTTGTTTCTTTTTTGGGTCTTTTTGTTTTATGCGTGCGAAAACTGTTCTTTGGTTCATTTCAAGTCAAGAAAATTTTAATGTTTAAGTTTGAACTTTAACTCAAACTTGAACTTTAAAGTTTGAAGTCGCATTTCTGAAGTAAAACTATTACTTATTAACTTGATTACTAATTTCTAATCCCTATTAAATTAATCTCTAGATTATGGACTCGTCGAGTATCGAAACCAAAGAAAAGGACTTCAACGTAAGCAAGAAGCAATCTCCTTCAAAAAGAAAAAATTAAAGATTCGTAATTACATCAGTTTAATATTTTATAATGACTACACTTATAGATATTGTCATTGAAAGAGAATATTTTTAAGACTTAGTATGAAATTACTAGATTTGAATGTTGAAATCAAGAACTTCATGTTCAGCGCTTATATATTAGTACCCGTAGATCTTATGAGGAGGAAAGGGGCCAGGGTTTAGTTAAGAGGAAAATACTATTTTCAATCTAATGAAGTGAATTCTGTAGTGAAGTCTATAACTTTTCTGTATTATTATTTGGATATAATTTGATCAATGATGTTTATGAATTCTATATCTATTTCACTTATTGCACTGTAAAATATTTTAAGGACTTTAAATTGCCATATCTGATATTTATATTAATAATATTTTTTGTTTAGAATAACAGTTTCACAACAATATAATATTGTGAATATTTAGTAGCTTTTTCTTGTGTTGCAATGCAAATAAATTTTTCAATTTTTTTTTATTTTAAAAATGTAACAATACTGCAATTGTACGCCTTTGAAGCTAAAAAAAAACACAATAAAAATATTTATATACGAAACATTAATTAAGTTGTAAATAAATTGCCATCATTTATGAAACAACACGTTGTGCAGCAATAAATGTAATTCATGCATAGAAATCGGAAAGGACGATGAAAGTAAAATAAATAATAAATTATATTAAAATGGAAAAACATCTAAGAGAAGCACTAACTGCGGCTCCATACTAATAGATAATATCTATAAAGAAAGCAAAAAAATATTTAGACCCTGTAGGTTACTATTTGGTAATTGCTAACCTTGTAATCCATTTTTTTTTTTTTTGTTAAACTATTTGGTTTTCCAGATGAAGTTGAGGAGATCCGATGAGTTTGCTTTCGTTATCTCTTTCAAGTCAATGGATAATGGGATTCCCAAGACATTGAAATCGCCTTGTCTGAAGTGGTGGACAGAGACACAGGAAGTGGTTCTAGCGACCTCACAGTCAGCTTGCTTGCCTACTAAAGTGAGATAAAATGCTAAGTATTTGGAATTGATGGTATTTACAGGTTAGTAAGCTTAGATAACTACTATTACCTATTACTTACATATTAAAGTAAGAAAAAATTCTTTATACTGAATATTTCTATTACCTCATAAAGAAGCTAAGTATTTCAATTTGCTGATCCTTACAAGTC